CCCACACACCATTATTCCGCGTCACCAACATCGGCGACTCACACTCACTCCTCCACCTCTCGACCCAAAGAGGCCACACACACACACGAATACCATCGTCTCGCGTCACCAACATCGGCGACTCATGCTCAATCCTCCACCTCTCGACCTAAAGAGGCCACACACACACACAAATACCATCGTCTCACGTCACCAACATCGGCGACTCATGCTCAACCCTCCACCTCTCGACCTAAAGAGGCCACACACACACACACAAATACCATCGTCTCGCGTCACCAACATCGGCGACTCATACTCACTCCTCCATCTCTCGACCTCGTTGGGCCACGCACACACACAACATTTCCACCTCCCGTCACCACCATCCGTGACTCATGCACCCTTCTACCCCTCTCGGCCTTGCTAGGCCACACTCACATACATATCCCCTCCCTGCTCCACCAACATCGGCAACTCAACCCGCCCCTACCAACGGCCTCCAAATTCCCCCTCCCAAACCGCATGCTCCCATCTCTCCTTATACCATGCTAGTCCCAAGCGTTCTAACTTGCTAACTCCTACTGACCACATTACTCCCCTTCTCCCATCCAATCCCCCTCAAATCCTGTTTCCTAGTCCCCACTGCCGTACCTTCCAGCTCCCTTCCCTCTCCCACTGCCCCCTACCCGCTACCTCCCCCATCCTCCTGCCTCCTCCCGGTTCCTATACACTTTTGCCTACCTAGGGTGATTAACCTCTCAGCTTGCACCGTTTCACACCACATACACGCCCTCACCACCGTGCATTTCGGGGAAACACATCACCGCCTATTAGCGGCTCCCTCCACATCCTCACCCACGCACACACCACGCACACACCTCTTCTGTCCTCTTGAGTTTTTATCCCACCCGCGCCCCTTAGATTATTCTCTCACATCCTCCTCACTCTGTTCTACCCGCACCACCCCCATCCTTCCCCACGGCTCCCCACACGCCTCCAACACCGCCATACTTTCCATTCCTTCCCCGATCACCTCCGTGAGCGCGCGGGACAACCCCACGCTTACGGCCTACCTTCACTGCTCCACTCCGTCGCGCCATTGCCGACGCCGCACCTGCACAAAATTCTCTACACACACACACACCGCACCAACAGCTCAAATTTTCACCGTACCTCCCGTTTCCATCTTCCTTATTCCTGCCGGTCGCGTCGTCCGTCCACGACCTCCTTCCCTCTCCCTTCTCGCTCCCCTCCACCCCGACTCTCTCCTCTCTCCTTCTGGAACTTTCCTCTTCTTCTTCGTCTCCGCTGTCCTCCTTCCCTCCTTTTCTCTTTTTCTCTTTTTCCTTTTCTTTCCCTTTTTTTTTTCTTTTTTTCTCTTCCTCCCTTCTCCCTTTCCCGACCTCCTTTTATACTCTGCCAGCCTATCCCAAAACGACGTCGTTTTCCTACATCCCAAAACGACGTCGTTTTTCTTTCTTTCAAAACGACGTCGTTTTTCCCCTCTCTAAAACGACGTCGTTTTTATTATTTATTTATTTTTTTTTCTACTCTTTCTACTTTCTAGTCCTTACAACCAACACTTGCAAGTTATTAATTTTTGATGTTTGATGTTTGATGTATGTTATAATTTATTTTCTAATATTTTCTATTTGTTTTTAAATATTTAGTTTCTTTATATTTTTATGAAAAAAGTTAAAATGGTAATATTATATTTAAATAACTTAAAAAATAGCTTAGAATATAATAATAATAATAATAATAATAATAATAATAATTAGTTGGAGGAGAGGAATAAAAGGGACAAGAAGAAAATCTGACATTATGTTATAGAATATATGACGAAGAGGATGACGTAGCTATTCCTCACGTATAAACAGACACTTTATCATATATATATATAGACAGACAAGCTTTCCTTTTTGAAGCCTAATAATAAAATAATAATAAATTATATGGTGTAGCACTTAAAAATGAAATTAATTCATAATTTATGAATTTATATGTATATATGGTCAAGAGTTTTATGTGTAGAAGATCAACACACTCAACCCTGAAAACCACACTTACCAAACAAAATCCAAAGAGAAAAAAAAAAAAAAAAAAAAAAAAGGAAAAGAAACTCAAACCCATGGCTTAATAATTCTATGCATCGAGACAAGAATTTTTAGGTATTGATTAATTCCTACTGAGTATTATTCTTCAATTATTAATTGTTGATTTTATAAGTTTAAGAATTAAATTATAGCCAAAAAATAAAATAAAATCTAGTATATAGTTACATCTTTGAC